CAGCCCCGGCACAACGGCCAAAGAGCGAGATCGAATTTGGCACCGGTCCAAAGGATACCGGTTCGAGAACGACGTGCTGTATAAGCGCACAGCCGCGGGCACCAACAAGGTCGTGCCGCGCTCTGAGCACCGCGTGAACCTGATTCGCCGCGTGCATCAGGATGTAGGCCACTACGGCGTCAAGCCTAACGTATTCGCTCCTGGAGCCCACGTACTGGTGGGCCGGGATGTACGGCCAGGTCATGTACGAGGTCGCCGCTTGTACAGCCTGCGACCGGGCCAAGGCCACGTTCGAAGTGAAAGACCCCGAGCTCAAACCTCTGCCCATCATGGGTATGTTCTACCGATGGGGCGTTGACCTCTGCAAGATGCCCGTTCCTTCTCAGGACGGCAATCGGTATGAAGTTGTGGTGATGATCGAACACTTCACGAAGTGGGTCGAGCTCGTTCCTATCCCCGAAAAGACGCCTGAGCACAGCGGCTGCGGCGTTGAAGCGCGTGCTGACCATGTTTGGCGCGCCCGCTGAGGTCCTGACTGACCAAGGCGACGAGTTCCTGGGCGAGTTCGATGAGCTCCTGACACGCCTGATGATCGACCACCGCCGGACTTCGCGGGGCCACCCGCAGGCGGACGGTCTGGCTGAGCGCATGGTTCAGACCATCAAAAAAGCGCTGCAGAAATATTGTCTGGTGTACAACAAGCACCACTGGGACCAGTTCCTCCCCTGGATTGCCATGGGGTACCGCATGAGTCGCCAGGCCTTCCTGGGCGGCTTCTCTCCCTACTATCTGCTGTTCGGCCGACACCCAATTGTCGGGTCGAAAGTCCGAGACATAATCCAGAACGTCGTCAACCTCGACGACCCGGCTGTCTGGGCACGCGTCATGAGCGACCGCGCCAAGCTGTTCGAGAAAGACATTCCAGCTGCGTTCGACAATCTTCTGATCGCGCAACACCGCGATACACTGCGCTATGCGCACACGCGATTGGGTCACTTCCAGCCCAAGCTTCACCGCTTCGAGGTTGGTGACCTGGTTTACCTACGACGGCAGAAGGCCGACTCCCTGGACTCCAACGTCGGACGGTTAATCCTGAAGGTGAAGGCAGTCCTGGACTCCGGTCCGTTGGTTTTGGAGGGTCGAGACAAGAAGACCATAAAAGAGCACGTCGAGAACTGCGCTCCGTGCCACAACCCGAACATCGATCTGTGGCAGAATCCCAGACTGGCTCAAGGGGATTTGGATCAGGCTTGCCAGGTTTGCCACAAGGTTTCGGGCGGACTGAACATGTTGCTCTGCGACAAGTGTGACGACGGCTGGCACATGAAGTGCCTGGACCCACCGCTGTATCGCAAGCCAAAAGGGGATTGGATCTGTCCACGCTGCGATGTGCAGACGGTATTTGGGGCCACCCTGTACCCGATGTGAGTCTAACCTGATTTCGGTCGGGGACGACCTCACCGGTTAGGGGGGGAGTGAGATAAGATTTTGCTATTACACGTAGCTTATTGCATAGCCATCATGCTTTTTCGCTTCGACTGCATTTGTTGAGCGCCGCACTCGACACGATTCAGCCTCGACTCATTACGGCACGACAGCTGTCAGGCAACCGATTGTTGGTGCTGCATAGCCTCGAGCATACGTGAGCGCCACGTCAGCGCTGTGCATATCAGGCATGAGCGCCCAGTTAGCGCTCTGCATATTGAGCATATTTGTCACCATAAAAGTTTCTAGCGTCATGGGCCACTTGGGCCATTTGGCCAGACTTCATATAGGCATCAGCAGTGTTACTAGACTCACTAGATTTTTCCATCGTTTTAGAGCGTGATTACGATGTTAGACTTAGCGTCATGGGCCATCATCGGACGGCCCAGGTTCACGGGACCGCTACGGTGCAAATTGGTGGCGGGCTCCGGCGCGGAAATTTGTCCCGGGCGCCGTACCAATTGAAATACGCCGTGCGGGCCCTCTGCCCGACTTCCGGGTGCGGCCAAAAGTGCCCTCGGCGGCAAATTGGCCCGACATGCGGAGCTTTTTGCCCGAGTTTAGCCAAGTTTAGCCTTGGTTCAAAATGCCCCGAATGTCATAGACCGACTAATACAGAAAGTAACGCTTCAGTCTGCTCATGGTATAATACTTACCAATTTGCTGCCGTACACTGGTCTCGGTTGTAGCAGATTTACACTAATAAGTACTCGCTGGTCCATGCAAGCTGTTGACCGGGAGGACTTGCTTATACTCCGGGCAATACATCACACTGAGCCTCAAGCTACGGTGTTAGAGTGACGGCCGGGAAGAATTCCGGTCACCCCGGTTGCTTTTGTGTCCAATGTAGGTACACCACATGTACTTCTATTGTACTCTACAAGATGCTATTGCGGTAGAGTTCGGGTTATACCGGTACAAGCCGAGCCGGTACCCTACCTAGTACCGACGCTATACTGGTAAATACCTCCTAGGAACCTCTCCCCCTTGAAGTTTATTGCCGTGCGTGCCGCGGTGTCAGTTGTACGGACAGCCGTACGAGCGGTGTTCACCGCGGGTGTCGCTGGGTATCAACAGGCAATGTGAAAGTTCCCCTTTGCTCCTACAAAATATGGTGGACAAAAAATGGCTCCTTTTGCTCTTCCTTGTCATCAAAGTGAGCATGGAAGTCTATTAAAAAGTTAATCCCCAGCTACAACACAACTATAGCCTTAGTGTAGACACTACCCCCAACCAAGCCCCCAAGTGTCGCTTGTGTATCTTGTATTTTGAAGCTCCTACAATGCCATTTTCAAGTCCCAATTTTAGGGCCAAATTCCTACAAAATTGGATAATATGGGGGCAATGTGCAATTTTTTGGGGGCAATATCGTACGAGCACCGTTGGAGGTACCCGCAGAACGCCGAAAATCCGGTACTCGAAATTTGGTCGTACCGTCGCCATTATGCGGGCCCCGACCACCGGAAATTTTAGGTACCGCGGAAATTGCCACGGACCGATTTTGCACCGTAACGGGGTCCCGTGTTTCATGTCAGCGTAGATATTTCGTTTACCTTAGATATGATATTG